CTAATTTACACCTTTCTTTACTATATTTTACAAAAACGGTAGAAACATTAATACATATATCTTTCTGTTTAATTGCTATTAAAATTTTAAAAAAATTTAATTTCCAGGGGGCGCTGAGTAATATTTTTTCTGGAAAGGGGGTGGTAGGCCAAATAAGTTTGGGAACCACTGGCTTATCCCAAGAAGCTCATATTCATGAGTAGTGTCTGTGTAGTATCGTCCGTCAGGAGTACTGGTATCGCCTTTCAGTGAGAATTTTGTATTTCTTCCAAATACGCAGCTTCTGACCTGTAGTTTGTAACAGGAGCCTTTAGGCAGCATGAAGAAGCAGAAACTGCCTGTGGAGGTAACACCGAATGGTTCTAGTTCATTTATTTTACTAGCCAACAAAACCAGAGTGGAAAAAGGTAGATTCCTCTATTGAGGCACATCGGTTTATGAGGATTTAGTGAATAATGACCTCAAAATAGGAACATATCAGGGGCAGTAAGGACATTGACCAATTCCAGTCTTTAATTTACTAGTATACCACAGTGTGTTATGATTTTTTCCAGTTGTCTCCAATCTACATATTTAAATCAAGAGATAAAACCTTTTTTACTTTATTATAATTTGTTTAAATGACAGTTTTATTGAGACAAAAATTCACCCATTTAAAGTATGCAGTTCACTGGTTTTTAGAATATTCACAGAGTTGTATAACCATTACCACTGTCTTAATTTTAGAACATTTTTATCACTCAAAAAACAAATGCAATCACTCTGAATTCTTCCCTCTAATCTACCCAGCAGCCCCTAATCTAATTTCTGTCTATGGATTTGTCTAAAAGATAAATTCTTTTAAACATAGTTTTGTGCCCAGCTGGCGTGACTCAGTGGTTGAGCATTGACCTGTGAGCCAGGAGATCATGGTTCGATTCCTGGTCAGGATACATGCCCAGTTGTGGGCTCGATCCCCAGAGGGGAGTGTGCAGGAGGCAGCTGATGGATGATGTTTCTCTCTCATTGATGTTTCTATCTCTCTATCTCTCTTCCTCTCTCTCTCTAAAAAATCAATAAAAACTTTTTTTACATTTTTAAAATATATTTTTATTGATTTCAGAGAGGAAGGGAGAGAGGGAAAGAGAGAGAAACATGAATGATTAGAGAGAATGATTGATAGGCTGCCTCTTTCATCCCCCCCACTGGAGATCGAGTCTGCACCCGGGCATGTGTCCTGACTGTGAATTTAACTGTGACCTCCTGGTTCATAGGTCGATGCTCAACCACTGAGCTATGCTAGCCAGACTAAAAACATTTTTTAAAGTAATTTTGTTTAATAACTGGACAGTTATTTGCATGTCTGTAAGTGGAATATGACTCTTAAAAGGACATAATCACTGTTTTACATTCATAAAAGTCATCCATATATAATTGACCTAGGAACTCCTCTTTTTGATTTATTAAAGTTTAAAAATTATCTTGGGTTTAGTAAACAAAACAGCTTTCATGATAGTGTTGAGATAACTCAAACTAGAGAATGCTAGCACCCTTGGTTATTTTGTTATGTCTTCTATTAATTTTTTGCAGAGCTGGATTAATGTCTGGTACATCAGTAGGTGTCAATTAAGGAAGCTTTATTTTACTCTGGTGACAGAGCTAGAATTAGAATCCAGCTTCCCTCCCATTAAGTCTCCTCTTTCCATTATGCCACACATGTTTTCCAGATGTGCCCAAAGCTGTTGGAAAACATTTGGAAGCATTCCATAGAAGTGTGGATCATTGTTCTTTATTTCCTTGTTCTATCCTATTTTTTGTTACTAAGCACAAAATCACAAGTTTAAACTTGTTATTGTTTGAATGCTGAAATGATAAATAGGCTAAGGGAGAAGAAAGAAAAAAATTTCCATGTTTTGCCCTGGCAGGCTGCTCAGTGGTTAGAGTGTTGGCCCACTGACTTAAGGGGCATGGGTTTGATTCTGGTCAAGAGCACATACCTCAGTTACAGGCTCAATCCGAGGCGTCAGTTGGGGTGGGTGTGGGAGGCAACCAATTGACATTTCTCTCTGTATGTCTCTCCCCCTCCCTTCCACTATCTTTAAAAATCAATGGAAAAAAATATCCTCAGGTGAGAATTAACAACAATGAAAATTTCAGTGTTTTATGTCTAATAAGTATAAATGTCCCATATTTCACAGTAAAAGAATTTATGTAAAGCAGGAGGACTTACTAGTAAATTCTGTGCAGCATTTTCAGCTTGAATACTTTATGTATTTAAATAGTTCTAGTCAAAATGCTGAATATGAACCAATGGTTTTATGAATATGAATCAAGTAGGAGGAGACAATGACCACCTATAAGACTTTTTGTTGTTTGTATTTTAAATGTTATGGTGTAAATACAGACGGCAAAGCTCAGGATTCTTTAATTTTTATTTATTGATTTGGGAGAAAGGGAGAGAGAGAGAAACATGGGTTTGTTGTTCCACCCATCTGTGCATCCATTGGTTGCTTCTTATATGTGCTCTGACTGGGGATCAAACCCACAACTTTGGCATATCATTACACTGCTCTAACCAACTGAACTATCTAGGATAAGCACACGGTTCTTAAATGTACAACTTGGAAGTTTTACACATGTATATGTGTATATAATATCATCACACAGATAGTATAAATAATATCTCAACACCCAGAAGGCTCCTTAAGTACCTGGTATTTGTCAGTTACAATCTTCCTTGAGGTTATCACTATTCTGACCTATAAGCATGGATTCATGATGCATGTTAATAGCATCAAATGAATATCTTGTGTCTGGCTTCTCATAATTACAAGATTGATTCATATTGTGTATAGACGTTAATTTTTTTCTTAGTAGTATTATATAAGTATGACACAATTTATGTATGTATTCACATGTTCATGGATATTTAGGTTGTTTATAATTTTTTTTTCATTATTATGCCCGAAGCTGCTAAGAACATCCTAATACTTGTCTTTTTGTGAATATATGCACTCATTTTTCTGGGGCCATATGGTTTTAGTGTATTATAAACGTTCAGAATTTTTTAATTAAAACAGCCAAAATGTCAGGTCTTCTTCACAAGAAATTTTGAAGTTCACCTGACTGGATATATACCTCTTTGCTTCTATCATAGAAACTGGGGGCTAATACCATTGATTTCACAGTCATTTTGGGGTAATATCATGGGCCTATTCTACAATAGCAAGGGTTAGGGATGTTATATATTTGGTTATTATGTAAATAGCATGCACCATGCTAGGAGTTAGAGATACAGCTTTGGAAGACACTCATATACCCTGCTTCCACCAACCGGTGAACAACTCATTCAAACATAATGTGTAGAGTGCAGTGATTCAGAAATGAGAGTTATTGGGGGAATACTTAGGATGGAGCATCTCACTTAAACCTGTGTAGTCAGTGGAGACATCTTGGAGGAAGTGATATCTAAACCGGGTCCTAAAGATTGAATTGGAATTGGCCAGGTGAAGGAGTGAGGGGGTGGGTGTTGAGAGGAGCAGGGCAATGAGAGACTCTAAAGCAGTGGTTCCCAAACTTCCTAGTGCTGCGACCTTTTAATACAGTTCCTCATGTTGTGGTGACCCCCAATTTCATTGTTACAAATGGAACATAATTAAAGCATAGTGATTAGTCACAAAACAGTATGTAATTATATATGTGTTTCCCGATGGTCGTCGGCGACCCCCTGTGAAAGGGTCATTCGACCCCCAAAGGGGTCGCGACCCACAGGTTGAGAACCACTGCTCTAAAGCAATGTTTCAGGCTTGGAATAAATTGAAAGTAGCCAAGTAAGCAGAGACTCAGTGATAAAGAGCCTTTGGGCAATATCGAGTTTTGATATCCTCAGATCATTGATAACACTTTTTTATCATGGAAAACGTCAATCCTAACGTGATAATAGAAGAATGAACCCTCATATACAAATACCACTGTCCAGCAACTCCAGCTAATGGCCAATCTTGTTGAGAATCCCTCTTCTATTCCCAGTGGATTGTTTTGAAGCATTGTGAGCTATCACGTCATCACTGAGGATTTTTAGCAATACTGTGACATGATCAGTTTTGTATTTTAGAAATCACACATTTCTAGGAATTTTAAAGTATCTTTTAAATGCATACACCATGGTTTGGGTGCTTCTCATTTGCTTTCAGTAACACAAAGACATCTGTCTTTATGCACTAGCATCTACTATTGGTAGTAGTTCGCATTTTTTTTTCAAACTATGGAAGCAGGATTAAATGTTAAAATTATGTATTTATCTTCCCATGTCAGTTGGTTAATTTGCACTTAAAATACTATTAATGAACATTTTGGCTTCTATAACTAGGAAAATGTCATAATCGATATAAAAGTTTGTTTCTAGGATTCAGCCTCCACAATAGCAAAGATAACTAGTATTTGGAAAGTAGAATTAGATTTATAGTATTACTCTGAATATTTTCTATAGATTCAAGTTGAGGAATTTACTATTCTGCTTTTATGGCAAAGGTTTTGTTACTTATCTACCTGTTGCAATTTGCTTGTTGATTCTGATGGCAAGAATTAATGTAGATTAATTCTCACTTTTATTTTAAAACTATTTTTAGCTGTCTAAGGTCCCTAAGTTAAAAACCCCTTCCTGGAGTTGTTTTAGGTATTTTTGTGGATTTGGTAACTATTGTAATACTTTGGGATGGTACTGCATTTATTTTGTGAGAATAATCTTAATCTAAATCAGAGGTTGGCAAACTTTGGCTGCTGAGACTGGTTCTTACATTTTTGAAGAGTTATTAAAATACAAGGAAAAATTTGCAACAGAAACTATATGTTACCTGCAATTTTAAAATATTTACTATCTGGTCATTTACAGAAAAAGTTTGCCAACCCTGATCTAAGTTAATATAACTTAAATTCTGTTCACCTGCTTGTTTTCTTTGGGAAATGTTCCTGTAAGATTTGTTTTAGAATGGACATTTGAAAATTTTCATTGTCTTCTACAGAGAAGATGGTGAATTAGAAGACGGTGAAATTGATGATGCAGGATTTGAAGAAACACAAGAACAGGAAGAGAAGCAGAAAAATGAGAAAGCCTACAGAAAATCAAGAAAAAAACACAAGAAAGAAAGAGAAAAGAAAAAATCCAAAAGGAGAAAACGTGAGAAACATAAGGTTAGTTAGAATCTACTTTTTATTTTCAGTAAATTTTTATGAAATATAAAATACTGAAAATTAGAAAGTATAAATCATTGCTTATTTTCTTATAAAACATGGACTATATCTTTTATTTATGTGATTAATATATTTTTAACATGAATATTATATGAATTAAAGATTTAAAAAATAAGGTAGCTTTAATGCAAATTAAAATAAATCTTTTTAGTTGATGGAAGTTTGTAGAATGCTGAAGCTTAGGGAATGAAAGTTTCATTCTCTGCAGATACAGATTAGCCGCATTGGCATTGTCCATCCATTTATTGATTTATTTACAGGCATCACGTGCTTGCTGTGGAAGTCTCCGTGTTGTGTGCTGGGGGTTATAGTAACAAGTGAAGAGGCCTCTGTTCTCATAGGGATTACCTTGAAAAGGGAAGGAGAGAGGCAGTAAGCCCATGATAAACAAATGCTATCAAGAAAACAGTAGAGTGCTGAATAGATAATGTGAGTTGGGTGGAGTAGAAAGGAAAACTATGCTGACAGAGAACCCAGGTAGTTTTTGAAACTCTGAATTTTCCCCATAAAAACAAAGCAATTAGGGTATTGTCAAAACCAAAAAGTTACAATATCTACAAAAAATGAAGTAACAAGCTATCCCCACAAATGTCAAAAATACAAATGGATAAGACTAAACCACAAATAGCAACTGTGTAATGAAGCAGAAGGAAGGTAAAAGGAACTTCCAGAAAACAGACTGGCAACAGGTGTTTTTCTCAAATGGCAGAGTCCCGAGTGAACCTGGTTGAGGGCACCAATTCTATTCCCAGTCAGGGCCGATAGAGTTTATCATCAGTGTTTCTGTCTCTCTCTCTCCCTCTGCCTTCCTCTCTCTTAAGTCAGTAAGAACATTTTTTTAAATTTAAGTCTTTTTTCCCAAGGTAAAAGTTTTTTACTCCAAGAAGACACTCAAAAATATAAAAGGAAAAAGAAACCACCTAAAATTAAACTAACGAGAGTAACCACTGTTAACATTTTTATATATTTCCTTCAAATCTTTTTTCTTCTGTGATTTTTCCCCTTAACATTGGAGACATACTGTTTAATTGATTTTATATTTGGTATATTTACTAAAATATTACAGATAAACATTTTTATGTTACTCTAAAATCTTCCAAAATACCATTTTAATTGATTATTATATCCTTTAGTAAATCATTCTCTTCGTATTGGACATGGAGGTCATTTGTGGTAAATTTTGAAGTATAGGTGGGAATTAGATAGTTGGCCAAAGAAATCCATAGAATACAAAAGCAAAAATTGTGAAAAGAATTGCATGTTTGGGGAAATCACTGAAGTTCCTAAATTCTTTCTGTCACTATTTGAATATTTAAGGAGGTCACCAAGTGGCTTCCTGTTAATTTGTTCTCGAATTGTACGTCTTGCCCTTTTCACTCACCATGATGTGATGTGATGTTTTTTGGTAAAGAGTTCTATAAAAAAACATAATAATTTAGACTTGAACTTTAGTACTTACTAATCAAGTTCAGCATATTGAAGGAAATAAACTACCAGTGTATAATAAATAAAATAACAAAAAATAAAGGAACACTTTCAAACACTTTGAACAGATACCAACAATACCCAGAAAAAGAAGAAAAAGTATAACATCCTTTTCACTTAAAATTTTAATAACTTTTAATTAGCATTTCCAGCTATTTTAATGTAGACCACTTGGTAATTCCAAGTTAAAGATTACTTCTTAGTATATATGTGAGCCCATAAGGTTCTCCCTTAAGCAGAACTTCTATTCTCTGATAGTTCTTCCTGAAGCAGTCTTCATTTGAGCTACTTCTTTCTTAAGCAAGTTATCTTCTTTAAGTGAAAAGTTTTCCTTTGAGCTGGAGCTGACTTCTGTTAGCGACTGAACAAATTTGGCTTTTAAATGGACAATATTTATTTCAAACCCTTACCAACAAAGATTAGGTAGTTAAGCATGAAGCATTTCATAGCATAATTGTAAAAAGGTTTCTTCATATCACTTACCGAGTCAATAAGAACAGAACTAACAGCACCATAAAACTAAACCCCAGAACATTTGAAGAACAAAGTAGAGGAAAACAGATTGTGTTCCTTAAAAAGCATTTAAGAATGTAGTAGAGGAGCCCGGCCAGTATGGCTCAGTGGTTGAGCATCGACCCATGAACCAGGAGGTCACGGTTCATTCCCAGTCAGGGCACATGCCCAGGGTGCTGGCTTGACTTCCAGAAGGGGGTGTGCAGGAGGCAGCTGATCCATGATTCTCTCTCATCATTGATGTTTCTCTCTCTCCCATTCCCTTCCTCTCTCTGAAATCAATAAAAACATTTTTTTAAAAAAAAGAATGTAGTAGAGGAAAACAGATCTACTCTAAAAGCATCGGAGTTCAATTAACTCAGCCAAGTTTTAACTGAGTTTGCTCTAGGTCTAGATACTGGGAATGCAATAAGGATAAAATACAGAGGCAGTTCTTAACTGATAAGACCTTTAGGAATTCTTTAAAGAATGCTCAACCTGGGAACATAATTATTTTGACTAGATGGAGGAGATTTGGTGACTTCTTTTTTTTTTATTTTTAGAAATTGTACTTATACTTGAAGAATGATATTTGTCACTATCAGTTACTGGTGGTTTCTGTTTCACTTTTGTTCAGCTTTATGGGTTGGATTTATTTTATAATTTAGAATGTTTTAATATCTTTTAGCTTTAGGGTACTTATATAATAGAATAAGAACTCTAAAGCCATTTTAGGTAAAAGTAAATTAATTCATACTCTACGCATGTTCTAGAACCCTTTTTGGTGACGAGGAACCAACTTTATTTCCTTTAAAATTAACTAATATCTAAGGTTTCTTTAGAGCATAGAGATTTAGTATTTCCTGTTTGAAGTCCTTGAGCCAAAAGTATCATGAGGAAAATGCTGTCATGAAGTCCCTGAGATGAGGGGAAGATATGCTTTCCCTCAGAAAATTTTAGAGAATTTTTTTGGGGGGTGGCCTTTGGAGCAATAAATTTTTTAAAATATATTTTATACAGAGAGGAAGGGAGAGGGACAGAGAGTTAGAAACATCGATGAGAGAAAAACATTGATGAGCTGCCTCCTGCACACCCCCACTGGGGATGTGCCCGCAACCAAGGTACATGCCCTTGACCGGAATCGAACCCGGGACCCTTCAGTCCGCAGGCCGACGCTCTATCCACTGAGCCAAACCGGTCAGGGCTGGAGCAAGAAATTTTTAATAAACACTTTAGAACCTACTAGGCTAATGTAATCTATTGATTAGCCCCTCTGGCTGAAATAAGCTTATCTAGTTACTAGTTAAATATTCTTTTCTTTGCAAAGTAATGTATTTGTTTTTTCCTTCTTTTAGCATAATTCTCCATCTAGTGATGACAGTTCAGACTACAGCTTTGATTCAGATGTCGGACATACAGAAAGTTCCCACAAAAAAAGAACTGGTTTCTACAGGGATTATGACATTCCATTTCCTCAGGTATTGTCTTTTTTTTTATTGTAATAAAATACACATAACATGAAATTTACAGTTTTAACCATGTAAACATACAGTTCAGTAGTGTTAAGCGTATTCACAATAATCCATTTTGAGAACTTTTTCATCATCCCAAACAGAAACTGTGTTTCTATCTACATATATATAAAAGCCTAAGCGACCATTCCACTGTTTGACCATTTGACTGGTAGCTGTGACTCACACTGACCACCGGGGGGCAGATGCTCTGACCAATAGGTTGCTGCTGGGGTCCAGCCAATGGGGAATGGGTGAGACGGACCACACACGCCCTGGAGCCCTCCTGTGGTCTCTCCCCAGCCCTGATCGTGCACTGGTGGGGTCCCTCGACCTGGCCTGTACCCTCTCGCAATCCGAAACCCCTTGGGGCATGTCAGAGAGCTGCAGGCTAGGCCAAGGGACCCCACCCGTGCACCAGTCTGTGCACTGGGCCTCTAATTAAGCAATAAAACTTCATTAGTTCCCCCCTAGCTCCTGGTAACCACTGTTCTGTCTCTATGAATTTGCCCACTCTAGGTAGCCTATGTAGGTGGACTCACACAATATTTGTTTTTTTGTTATTAACTTACAAATTTTTCAAGATTCATCCATGATGCAGCACATGTGTCAGCATTTCGTTCCTTTCTAAGGCTGAATAATATTCCATTGCATGCATATACCACACTTTGTGTATTAATTCCTCTGTTGATGGCCACTTGGATTGTTTCGACTTTTTGTTGTAAATAATATTGCTATGAACATGAGTGCTACTCATAGGAATGGAGTTTCTGATCGTATGATAATTCTGTGTTTAATTTTCTGAGGAACCACCATCCTGTCTCCCACAAAGGCTGCATCGTGTTACATTCCCACGAACAATGCATGAGGTTTTCTGATTTCTGCACATCCTTGTCAAACTTGTTATTTTCTGTTGGTTTTTTTTTATACTAGCCTTCCTAATGGGTACGAAATGGTATTCATTGTGGTTTTGAGGTATTGCTTCTTAAAAAGGGAAAAACTAAACTTTCAATTTTATTCTTTGCTTTCTGATCTTTTGCAAAGATATTTTACAAGATATATGCTTTAAAATACACCATGAATTGCTGTGTTTAGGCTGCCGTAAGAAAATACTACAGACCAGGCGGATTAAACAACAGAAGTTTATTTTCTCTCAGACTGGGGGCTGGAAGTCTAAGATCCAGGTGCTGGCAGGGTGGTTTCCTCTGAGGAAGAGAGAAGGCTCTGTTTAGGCCTTTCTCCTTGGCTTGTCAATGGCCATCTTCTTGTTACTGTGTCCTCACATGGTCATCCCTCTGTGCATCACGCAACCCTGGTGTCTCTCTGTGTCTCCAAATTTCTTCTCATAAGGGCACCAGTCTTAGTGGATCAGGGCCCATCCTAACTGCCTAATCACCACTTTAAAGGCCTGATCTCCAAATACAGTCACGTTGTGAGGTACTGGGGTTAGAACTTCAACATACAAATTTTGTGACATCTACCTCTTTAGGTGGAAAAATTATTTGAAGTGTTTTAAAGAAAATATTTTAAGACATCATAATAAACTATATATATATATATATATATATATATATATATATATATATATATATATATATCTTAAATATGTTGCACTGTCTCAACAAAGTCTTCAGTATAAAAACTATTTTGTGCTAGAAAGATCAGGGCTCTCAGGAGCATTGGAGAGTGTCCACATCAGTGTGCTCCTATCTGAAAAGCCCCAGACTTTCTGAGGCCCAGTTTCTGCCAGTCTGGCTTGTCTGCAAGTGCTATAATCTTTTACCTAATTTAGTTTTTCTCAGAGCATTTGAACAACTATTCATTAGAATTATTTTTACTACTAATGACAGAATTTCTAAATTAGTTCTATTTCAGCAAACATTGATGTGGTACCTAAATTTCACCATTTGCAGTTAGATTTATTTTTTAGAAATAGTCAAAAGTCATTTGGATACTCTTCCAGTGAATGAAGAAATGCTCAAGATGGGCATTGCTATTTCAGAAAATATCAAGGATTGAGATTTATAAACTCTTAATTCGTAGGCTGTCACTAAAAGTAATTCCAAAAGAAGAGATGCAGAATATTTTAAATAGTGGCAGAAGTACTGTAATAAGTTTATAAATATCTTAAATATATATAAACTTATTTGGGGGCCACTGTGAAGGACAGGATCAGTTTGTATGTACAAACAACAGCACATTTGTTTTAAACGACTCATTTTCTTAAACAATATAGTTATTGTCATTATATCAACTATTGTATATCCCTAGAGATGCAAGAATTTTTGTTTCAAGAACTCAAAGAAATGAAGAAAAACGATATAACATCTACAAAATTACAGGCCAAAAGTAGAATATATATGAACACCAGAGGACTTAATATATGTTCCCTTTTCCTCACCTTTGTCCAGGGCCTCCTGGTCCCTTATTTCATGTTGACAGAGATTGCCGAGGGGCCAGCTCCCGTTTGGCAGAAACAAGATGTTCTAGCAGTGTAGATGGCCTACTAACCAGCCAGCATAGTGGTCAGAGAAACTGTATCCTGTGGTAGAATTGATAGTTTTTCTCATTTCTTTTATCTTTTTTCAGTTGGGCTTTGAAAAACACTTGCTAGATCCTTGCTGGTGTGTTTTGTTCATTCAGATGATGAACATGTGCAGCCTAAGGAGACTTTTCTAGAGCACGAAAGGGGCTGCTTGTGGCCAGCCTGGGCTCTGACCCTCCGGAAGCCACGAGACTTCCACTGGGAAAGGAGCCCTGAGACAGGATGTTTGCCGCTGTGAAAACTAGGGAGAAGATAAAGTGAAAGCTAGGGATAATTCTTTTAAAAACTAGGAATATGAAGATTATTTTTGTGAAGACCATGACAAATCAGAGAATTTAATTAAATTAAGACTTAAAAGCTTTTATGATAAACATCTAATCTCTAGAGAAAAATTCCTACTCACCTATTAAAAGTAGTTTTTAGTCATAAAACATTGGATATATTATTGAGGCAGTGTTATTACATTTTTATTTTAAAAAGTAGATACCATTCAACTAATTAACTTAATTTAAACATTTTCTGTTTTATTTCATTGGCTTAAAAAATCAGAAACCATGCCTTTTGAGTACTGTTTTGATTTCTGAATTTCTGAAGTGCTAGACTTGAGAATATTTTATAAATTTTAAAAATACTGCTTAAAACAAATGAAAAAATCTAATACAATGTCTTCAGTATTTGAAATTTATGAGCTAATTGATTTTCTTGATTGTGTTAATTACATATTTTCTCTAATTTCTAATTACTGAAAAGAACTTAATATTTCGCTGCATTTCATTAAAAACTCATAGTCGCATGTTGGTATTCTGGCAGGGGCAGTATTTTTATATCACAGTTAAAATGTATAAACTGGGTTTATCTGGATTCCCAAGTTGTAATTACAATCTTTTTTGCTTCCTTATAATAAAAAAAAATTGACAGAAGATATGATAGACCTAATAAAGTGAATAGAAATAGTCTTGAATACTGTCATTAAGTAAACTTCTATGACTAAAAAGTATGCTGTTTTCACCTGCTTTAGTAAAGAAGCAATAAAGTTAATAAGGTATATTGTCATAAATAATTCTTAATGAATAGTTTATTTATTAGATATCTTTTATTTCTAGAGAAATAATCTATTTTTCAATATTAGACCTCAGATACAAATATTTTCTTAGAAAAATGTCTAAACATATCATTTTTTATTAAATATAATATGCTTAAACATGTAATTTTGGAACTTTTCAATGTTAGAACAATATATTTATATTTTTTTCTATCCCTCCCCCAAGCTATTTTACTATCTTTTCCTTATTTTCAAAAAGACTTTTTCTGTTTAAGGAATTCATGTATGACAGGAATTCGCATAAGTATCCTGTATGTACAAATGTTGAGACATGGGACATGGAAAACAAAAAGTGAATAAAACATCCCAGCAAGGATCTTTGAACATTATGAAATTTAATGATATCAGAGTAGTATTTACTTTTTAACTTTTTTAAAATGGTGTCCTAGATCAGTACTAATCAAGAACTAATAACTGTCTCCTTCTTTCTTCCAACTTTCGGTGGGGAGAAAAGAGGCCTTACGTTACTACAATTCCTGTATGTAACTGAAAAATCCTAACAGTGGATTGTCCGTTTCCACTTAGCATGGGCACATATCAGGAAGCTACATGACATCAAGGAGGAGTCAATATAACAAAAAATTTAAAAGTAAAGAATATGGTGAGTACAGTACCTACAGTGATGACAACTTCGGTAACTACAGTGATGACAACTTCGGTAACTACAGTCAGGAAACAGAAGAAGATTTTGACAGTCAGCTCAAACATTACAGACAAGCTAAAGAACCCTCCAGTATTGCTTTAGGATCATCATTTTTTAAAGAACCAGGGAAAAAACAAAGAATGAAAGGAATTCAGCAAGGTAAGTTTTAAATTGTCAATCTGTTTTTGAATATAAGAACCTTATTAAAATAGGTAGTGATGGAGTAAAAACTTAGAGTTCTTAGCCCCTTTTCAAGATCAGTTTATTCATTTTTGTTTATTTTGTTGTCCTTGAGGACAAAAATCTATAAATATTTCAATCTGTATGAAATCTTAATATTTGAATTATAAAGATACCCTAATATTTTAAAAGTATGTAAAAGTATAAAACAATTTTCCTCTTATAGTTTTCCCTGAAATATACTACTGTACTTATAAAAAATAACCTACCTTTTTCCATCGTCTCTGATGCTCTAAGTACTTATATACTTTAGACCAGTAAAGACAGTGTTTTGGGAAGCTATTCTTTCTTTGTTTATCCTCACCTGAGGATATTTTTTCCATTGATTTTTTTAGAGAGAGTGTAAGGGAGTGGGGGGGCGGGGAGAGAGAAACATCAATGTGAGAGAGACACATTGATTGCTTGCCTCCGGAGTGTGCCCCAACCAGGCCAGGAATTGAACCTGCAAATGAGGTATGTGCCCTTGACTGGAATTGAACCCACGATCCTACACCTTAACCACAGAGCCAAACAGGCGAGGGCTGGGAAGCTATTCTTTTGTTAGGCTTTAAAATGTGGTTACCTTTGCTATGCATGTGTACTTAGGACTATGGACATATATCAAGATAGGAAATAAGAACCTAATCTAAAGAAATTTCTACAGTCATTACCTATTCATCTGCTATATTGAGACACATGGTCCCTGGGAAGGTCAGGGCAAGTTACCATAGAAAGACATGGTGGGCCCCATAAAGGTCGAAGCAAGCTTAAGAAATGTTCAGTCAATGTGTTCGACTCAAGAAAACTGGAGCAAGATGAGGCTGAGGTTAAACAGTGGGCACCCAAACTGTGTGAATCTATCCTTTAATTGTTGAGAAAAGCAGTTAGTTATAAGTAAATTTGGTTATTTCTATGGCTTTTTTTATTTCTTAGCAAAATCTAATTGAAAAATATGAAACTAGGCTTTGCTGAACTAAGGAAAAGAAATTTGACCATGCATCTGCTACTGTAATTATAGTCAAACAGTGGTGTGGAGATAACTCCGCATGGGAATACCCGAACGTGGAGGCCTCTTCATCCCTTCCCGCTGCGGTTTTCCATCAGGCTCTTTCTGTTTGTGCTGTTAATGAACTGAGTGATACATTTATTTTTGACATTTGTTTTCTCCTGGATTATGGAAGGAATATATGGCCAAATGCAGAAAACTTTTCCTATGTATAGACAAGATAATCCAACAAAGATCAAAGATAAAATAATTTTAATCCCTACTTCCAGAGGTAATTACTTGAACATTTTTGGTGTACTGTACATTCTTTTAGAATTTTTCTGACAATTATTTTTAACAAAACTATTTATACTGTGGTAATTTTATTCCCCACCCCCCTTAACTTCTTATGTTAATGTGTAGCTTTTAATGCCTGCATTCTAGTCAAAGTAAATATACCATAATTTGTCTCACAAATTGTTAGGTTTGTTTGATGTAATTGTTTGAGATTTAAGTTGCACCCAGTTTTTTAAAATTCTGTGATTAATCTTGCATATTTATACATATATCAGAAAACATCTTGGCAAACATATTTCTTAGGAATAAATTCTGAAATGTAGAATTGAGTCAAAAGACATAGCCACACATTTGAAGATTTTTGATGCATATAGCAAGGTGATATCCAAAAAAGTGATGTGCCTGTTTAAAAAAGTGATGATCCCTGCTAGTGTGTGAAAATGCAAAACTCTCCAGGTCCCTACACACAATATTCATTTTAATTTCTTTTAATGAGATAAAACTTTTTATTCGAATATTTATTGCCTATTTTGTAGGCTTAAGGTCATTAGAAAATGTATTAGTTCAATATGACTTTGGTAAAATAAGAAATCATTTTGTATTTTAACTTCCTACCCTAATAAATACTTTTTGCTATTTGGCTATCTTTTTAGATGCTTTTAAATAGCAAGTTTTTCAAAAGTAAAAGACAAGTCACCCAGCTGGCGTGGCTCAGTGGTTGAGTGTCAACCTATGAACCAGGAGGTCACAATTCGAATCCAGGTCAGGGCATATGCCCAGGTTGTGGGCTCAATCCCTAGTGTGGGGTGTGTAGGAGGTCATCACTCAGTGATTCTCTCTCATCATTGATGTTTCTATCTCTCTCTCCCTCTCCCTTCCTCTCTGAAATAATAAAAAAATATATTTTTTTAAAAAAGTAAAAGACAGATATAAGTTTTACTTGGAAATATATGTGCTATGTACTCAAAATTATCAATAGAAACTCAATTCACTATAAATTAACCACAAATACCTACAGTGTCTTCCATAGAGATGAATATAATATTTAATTCTCTGAAAAACTGAAAGCCTTCTTTTTCTAAAGAAAATTGAAAAGAATGAAGCTGGATTTGACTTCTCCATCCATGTACATCCTTGTTCCTTGTCTTCCTTAATGTTAACATCCCTTAAGAAACAAGAGCCCTGGCGTGGTGGTTCAGTTTGTTGGAGCATCATCCTGTATACAAAAAAGGTTGGGGTTCAAATCCCATACAGGTCAGGGCCTGTATGGGAGGCAACTGACCAATGTTTCTCACATCGAAGTTTCTCTCTCTTCCTTTCTCTGTATAAAAAATCAATGAAAACATATTCTTGGGTGAGGATTAAAAAACAAAATAAAAGTATAAGAAGCAATGCCCAGAAAGTTTTAAAATGTAAAGATTGAAATAATTTTTTTCATTGAATTTAGAGGAGAAAAATGCACTGTACATTATAGACTGTTAAAAAATAAGGTGTTGCCCTGGCCGGTGTGCTTAGTGGTTAGAGCATCAGCCACACACTGAAGGGTCTTGTGTTTGATTCCCGGTCAAGGGCAGGTACGTGCTGGAGGCAACCAAGGGATGTGTCTCTTTCACGTCAGTTGATATCTCTCTCTCTCTCTCCCTCTCTCCCTCCTCCCTCCCTTCCCTCTCTCCTTTCCTCCTTTCCTACCACTCTCTCTAAAAGCACTGGAAAAAAAAATCCTCAGGTGAGAATTAACCAAAAAAAACAAAAAACAAAACAGCTGTTTCCAATAAACTAATATATTGTACTGTTTTTCTATAGTATTTGAAGTACATTTTAACTTTTTTAGGTACTGAACAGAGGCTTAAAAGTTTTAATGTTGGTCGTGGACGAGGTTTGCTGAAGAAAATCAAACGCAAAGACCGTGGGGGAAGAGTCAGTAAAGGGCCCAGTATGTTTTCAGGAATGGATGACTTTCAAGAGGTACTGAGTTTATACATAATGAGGAGATTAGCTTCTCCATCATTTAACCTATTTGGCTACAAATAAAGCATTTGATTTTAATGCTACTTTTCTAGTAAAATGAATCATTCTTAGTTCAGATCAAATTAATATAAATAAATTCCAAAAAAGTAATTGTTTTTGAATTAGTCATGATTATAATATGGAGATGCAAATTTAGGTGACTTTGAAATAATACTGATATGTTTGAAAGCAGTTCAAAATAACAGTGATATATTTGGAAAGCAAAAACATGTTCTGTTCTCTGTTGGGCTTTCCTTTCCTAGGAGTTGTCTTCGCCAGATGCAGATGGCAATAAAATGGTAATAGCTCAATATGTAGCAAGCCAAGAAGAGAGACAGTAGTAAATTAGCTAACTAAAGTTGAAAGCATTAAAAGAGAAGAAAAGGAAATATAAATGGTTGGAAAGATGAATTAATGAACTACCCATATGGTAGATAGCAAATAAATATATATTAACTTGAACTCATATGTGTACATTTCAACTGTATAGCTACTGTATTCTGCCCACAGATCCAGTGAGGTCTGACTGAATTCACAGATAAGGGTGGGTTATAAAGCTGCAACCTTAGTTGAGAGCAAGGGGATAGCAATATATTGTAATTTAAAATGCTTGGTTTTCTGATATCTGGACTTAAAGATAATGGGTAAAGATTTCTTAATATGTATTCCTTAAGATACTACTTAGGGAAATGTTAGTAAGTGTGGCCTAAAAAAGGAAGTTGAGGCCCAGATAAATTTGTGAAACTCTGCACATACCACTCTTCCCTTAGGATTCTCAGTCATCATTGACATATTAAGGTCTCTGCTCAGATTAGGCACAAATAAGCCTGTTCATGTTCTGTGGAATAGTAACTTTGAACATTATAGACTGTTAAAAATCTTTTTGGGTGATTCTAACCTGCCTGTCCATCTTCTATACCAGTTGACCTCCAGAATGTGCTGCACTCCCTAGACCAAATTAGTATGAATACTTTCTAAGTAAGCCCTCTTTTACATGCATTACCTACTCTATACCTGGGGAAAAATAGCTTCCAGGAAAGCATGGCTTCAAGCAAGTTTCTGCCTGTCTCTGTGAGCTTCAGTTTGCTAAAATGAGAATATATACAGTATTAAATTAACTGTAAGGGCCCCTTCAAGCTAACATTTTAGATGTTTACAGATCTGGCCTACAACTAAAAGATTCTTTGTCATGTAATAGAAAATCAGAATACATTCTTTTTCAGTCATCAGATTTAGACTATTTTTTTATTTATTGAGATTAAAATATGTCATCGACTGTCCACTTATTGGTTGTCATGAGAGATTTCTTTTTGTGATCTTGGAAACAAGGGTGAGAGTGCTCATGGTCAGACCCATCCACGGTTGGGTGGACATGCTGAGTGGCTGGCATAGATCCACTTCCATCCTAGTCTTTTGAGGAAGTATAAGAGCCCCAGAGGCCAGATAAGTTCAGGAATACCTGCACATCTACACTAATTTCTTGAAAACTCAAGGGTACAGAACAAGCAAACTTTTCCTGGATTTTAAAGACTTACTATTTATTCTGTTGGCCATAAAATTCTTAAAATTATTTAGTCTTTATGGTAGCTATTAAATTTTCCATAAATATGTGTTCTTTTCCTGGTAGATCCTTCCATTTTCTCTTCCTTATATACTTTTAAAAATCTTTTATGCTTTTGTTCGTTGTACCAATATAATACATGCTTTAGAGTAAATTTAGAAGACCCAGTAGTGGGTTGCGTTTTCTTCTCTCCCTTCACCTTTCCCTTCTCTCCTTCTTTCTTGAGTCTGTGTTTTCTTAAAAGATGTATGAGTTACTGCAGAGCTGCTAATGTGCCAGGTGACTTTTGGTAAATCACTAACTTCTCTAATCTGCAGTTGTCATTATCTGTCCAGTGAGGGTGGTAAACCGGTGACTTCTGCCGTCCTTTCAGTTTTACTTAATAAGAGGATATTTGTGGTCCTTCTGTAGGCTCAAACTTGAAAGATCAGATCTTCTGGGCACTTTATTTTGTGCTAAAATTGTATTTGTTAGAGTTGCTTAGGTTTTCTAGATTATCTTGATTATAGTTAGAGTTCTCATAGTTATGTATACTGAGATATATTCTACTCATTTAAGCAGAACTAAACTGGAAAACAAAACAAAAACTACAATCCTCTATTAAAACACTGAGGCATATCATTCGAAAGTAACATAGACTGACAGAAAGAGACAAAGTGAGAGTACATACAGCATTAAATTAATAAAGCCTAGGTACTGCTTGGTGCATTTTTAGGGGGTTCTTTGATGATAATCACTAGATATTTTTACTGTTTAATTTCAGAGTATATTTCTCAGGTTGGCTCACTGGCTTTGCATAATGAACTCTCTTCAGCTGTCTATTTCATTATAGCCACGATTCTTTATACAGATGGCACACGTGAGCTGGTCATTTATATCTACTTTTTCTAAGTGAGCCAGAAATAGAAAATGTTTGTAAATCAAATTTACATAGATTTAAGATATTTTCAGTGGTACGTAAGAGTAAAGTATAGACACTTTTATTCTCTCCTGGGGCAATTTAGGTATACTTATATTTTTAAAAAGAACCTCAAGGATTATGTTTTCTTGGTATTGTGTTTTTTAAAAGAATTCTTACAGTAAAATGGATATTTCTGCTCTGAGCATTGAGGATCAGGTGTAAATCTGGCCATCTGTTGCTCAAAGTGTTTGCTTTGAGGCAATTTCCTATTTCAGTAGATTGTGCAATATTGTTCTCTGTCTTCTAGTAAATTGAGGGAAAAGGGAAACTGGAATCAAATCAGGAAAGCAAATAGTCACTGCACTTCTACAGTGCGCCAGGCACACACATGAGGGGCGTTCAGTGAACAGTGCTGCTTCATGGCCACATGAATGGCAGTCCTTAGCACGGCCAAGCCCCATCCCCTGTCGTGACTCAGTCTTTCTATACTCACAGAAGTCAAGTTGGCACCTGAGGAGAACAAAGGAAAACATAGGGCTGTGAGATTTGCCATCATACACTTTTTTCCTTAATTTTTTAAAATTTATAAATTAAAGGTAATACATCTTCACTGAGGATTTTTTTCTCTAAAGAAAGTACAAAATAATCTAATTTTTAAGAGATTCATCTAGAGACATACACTATTAAAGTGGGGTATATTTTTTTGTTTTTTATTTTTATTATAAAATTGGGATTCATTTTGGATGTGTAGAATGTTTCTAGGGTTTTTGTTTGTTTGGTGTGGTGGTTTTTTTTACTATGTAAGTAATTCTGCCGTTGTTATATTTATGAATAAATCTTTGTGTGCCTTCCTGATAATTCCTTTAGAATAATTCTATAAAGCACAAATTCTGTGTCAAACAATATGGAAATTTTAAGTCTTTTATAACATACTTATCAACACTATATTTTATTGTTTCTTTGCCAAAATGGAGTATTATTGTTAATTTTCAAGATTTTCATAATTTTATGCTTTAAAATGTAGTTATACATTCTCCTTAAAATAGAAATAGGGTTCTTTGCAACCACTATTAGCATACGCTGTTCACTAGAAGGCATATTTATCTCCAAATAAATGAGTAACCTCAGAATGTCCCATCTTGCCCACTTTTAATAATGAATTTGAACTGCTTTCCAGATTCATTTGACTGTATATTTTAGTACCTATTTAATGTATGTTGCATTTAAATAAAAAATTTTTCTTGCAGTATAATAAACCAGGGAAAAAATGGAAGGTGATGACTCAGGAATTTATTAATCAGCACACAGTGGAACACAAAGGAAAACAAATCTGTAAATACTTTCTGGAAGGGAGATGTATTAAGGTAAATTCACAGGGGTATCATAAATCATTTCACTTCCAAAATGCTCTTTAAAATTTAAACCTTTTTTGGGTGTTTTTTTTTTCATTTCTCATTTAGTTGTAATAAAACTGGTTCTTCACAATGCATCTAATGGAAATACTGTTCATCAGAACTCATTTAATTATATTTTGGGATATTGATGTAATTTGTTGAAATTAGATTTTATTTAATAAACACAGTGCTGGCTGTGTGGCAAGTCCTGTTCAAAGTGAATTACTAATATTAAATGTTTGAATCTTTATAGCAACCCTAGAAAGTGGTTACTATTACTGACCCATGGTAAACACGGCCACACCAGATGGTTAAATTAGTCCCCATAGTAGCTCAGCTAGACATGGTGATTGGGCAGATGCCCCTGAGCCTGCACTGTGCTGCCTTTGCACATACTAGTAGCTACACCCACCATCTTGGGCAAAAACTCTTAAGGAATTGTTTGGATTATTAGCTCATTATTTAAAGACTGAAGATAGAACCATAGTTCCGCTATGAAATGCCATGGAGACAATTCAATTCAGTTGTTTGTTTTTTTCTCTTTGTTTCCTCCTTTCTTTTCTTTTTGGAACAGGGAGATCAATGTAAATTTGATCATGATGCAGAGTTGGAGAAGAGGAAAGAGATCTGCAGATTTTATTTACAAGGATATTGTACGAAAGGGGAGAACTGCATTTACATGCATAATATCCTTTACTGAAAATATGTTAACCAAAATATTGAGGTTTGAAAAATCATTGAGGGTTTGAAAAATTCTGAGTACAACCTAGAAAGCCTAGTTTGATTTTAAATTTAAAACAACACATTACACAAACTAAGTCTAGTCAGCCTTTGTACTTTAGAAGGGCAAGCTGAGTTTTTTTCTTTAGGGAAATGAAATAAATAACATCCCTGTGGAGAAAAATCTGTGAAATAAAGGTACTTTGTATTTAATATACACTTATATATATTTCAGTAGCATGGGTTCCCGAAAGAGTTGGCAAAATACAGGGTGTCCCTAAAAAATGTATACATGCTTTAACAGCTGATAGCTCAATTTTGAAAATGAAATGTATTTCAATAAATACTGTCTTTATAATTATTCAAAGTGTGTGTGTACATTTTTGGGGATATGCTGTATTTATGTTATGACTTTATTATTTTTACTTAGGTTCATAAGTAATAAATTATCATTGTTAAACATTATAAAATCAGAGTCTTATCAAATCTTACCCCTAATTATCACTGTATATTCTTCCTCAGTTCTTTCTTTAGAAATCTATACATCTAAATTCAAATTGGTATTTACTATATGTTTATAGTTCATATATATATATATATATATATATATATAGAGAGAGAGAGAGAGAGAGAGAGAGAAAAGCTGGTTTTTCACTGCCTTTGATGACTAATGGAGCCTTTCTCCCTCAAACTGAACTCCATCTTTATTATGATGAAATGTTATGTGTATGGTGTTGTTCTAGAGTTTCTGTTTGGCCCCATGGCCTGTTCATCTTCCTATCTCTGCTGCTTTGATGAGATTATTTCTGCCTCACCAGTACACTTGATTTTGGTAGATTCTCATGTTTATTTTTCCAGATACAATTTAAAATAGTCTTGTCTAGTTCAAAAATAATGTAAAAGAAGAAAGTAAAAAATTCCTGATATCATTGATCTAAATGTAAAGATAAAGCCATACAAATACCAGAGGAGTGTGTGGGTGGGTTCCTTTATACTCCAGAACAGAAGTATGTCTTAAAATCCAGAAGCAATGAGAGAAAAGACTGAAAAATTGACAGCATAAAAATTTTTAATTTTACATACAAATATCTGACATAAGCCAAGTAAAAGATAAATAATAAAATGGGAAAAGTTGTTTGCAACTTATATCACAAAAAGTTTGATATATGAGCTTCTAAAAATTGAGAAGAAAAATGGGGCAAGACATACAGATTATTCATAGAGAGAAATGCAAATGATCCAAAACATGAAAAGATGCTCAATCCTATCTATATAAAAGGCTAATATGCAAAGTGTCCCCTCAGGAGTTCGACTGGGAAACTGGGAGTTGGATCACTCGCTGTGAAGTGTGCTGACCACCAGGCGGCAGCGCAGAAAGAAGGGAGGCCCCAGCCGGCAGCCACGAAGGACCCTACCTGTGCACAGATTTCATGCACTGGACCTCTAGTTCATAATAAGAGAAATGCAATTTATCTATGCCCAAGATACCATTTGCAGTTACCGGATTTGCAAAAATTCTCCCTCCTCCCCACCAAAAAAAGGGACAGCAAAGATTGTTAGCAAGGCTGTGATAAAATAGACACACTCAGACTTTGTTGACAGGAATTCGAAATGGGGTCACCCTTGTGGAGAAGAGCAGGGCTGTGTTGGCACAATTACACACGACTTCACACTCTGACATAGATCCTACCATTTTGCATATTTTGGTGAATTAATCGATTTGGGCATTGATTACTGATGGCTATTAAAACCATTAGATGAAAAGTTGATGAGAAATTTTGTAATTGATGAATGGGACTGACAACACCTACTCCAGCCCGTTAACCTTAACACTAAAAAGAAACAACTGGGCATCAAATGCCTCTTGATGCAATCGGGAGTATTTATTTTGACATCAATGACAAATATTAAAATTAACAAATAAATGATCCTATCTAATAAAGAGGGATTATGCTAATTGACCCTCACAGCATCACAAAGATGGCAGTACCCACAGCCAATAAGGCGGGATTATGTTAATTGACTGCCCCGACCTCAAAGATGGTGGCACCCACAGCCAATAAGGAGGGAATATGCTAATTGACTGCCACGCCCTCAAATATGGCAGCAACCAGTCCCCTCAACCCCACCACCCAGGGCTGGCCCGAGGTACAAGCAAGCCTCAGATGGTGGCTGCCCAGCTGCCCAGGGCCAGCCCGAGGCACAGGTAACCAGGGCCGGCCGAGGCTTGCACTGCCAGCAGTGGCAACAGCAGAGGTGTGATGGGGGTGTAGCCTTCCCCTGATCGCTGGGTTGCCTCCCTTCCCTGAGGGCTCCCGGACTGTGAAAGGCGGCAGGCTGGGCTGAGCCCCCCCCCCCCACCCAGTGTATGAATTTCATGCACCGGGCCTCTAGTATAAAAATAAAAGGGGAGGGGAACTGCTATAGATCAACTAAAGAACTTAAGATATATGTTAACCAGATGCAATTTGTGGACCATGTTTGGATCTTAATCTAAACAAAGCAATTATAAAAAGAGCTTTTTTTGAAACAGTCTAAAATACTTGTATATTGACAGGGTAGTAGATAAAGTATTAATTTTTCATATTGATGCTAGGTTGTGATTATTAAGAAAAATATTCCTTATCTGTTTGAAATAAACATGGAAATATCCACAGATTAAATGTGTTTGGATTATGCTTTGAATACTCCAGTGTTTTTTGATGGAGAGGTCTGAGGAGAGTATGGGGGTGGCATAGATCTCACAAAATTGCCGGGTGATGTAATTGAACTTACACGGGCAGTCTAAGGGAGCTAATTGTATTATTTGCTTTCCTTTGGCATATGTTTGATAATTTTCAAGTTAACCTTTTTTTTAATTAAATCTTTATTGTTCAGATTATTATAGTTGTTCCTCTTCCTCCACCCCCCCCCATCGCTCTCCTCCACCCAGTTCCCACCCCACCCTCTGCCCTTACCCCTCCCACTGTCCTCATCCATAGGTGTATGATTTTTGTCCAGTCTCTTTCTTCACCCCCACACCCCTTTCCCCCCAAGAATTGTCAGTCCACTCCCTTTCCATGCCCCTGGTTCTATTATATTCACCAGTTTACTCTGTTCATCAGATTTTTTATTCACTTGATTTTTAGATTCACTCATTGATAGATATGTATTTGCTGTTCATAATTTTTATCTTTACCTTTTTCTTCTTCCTCTTCTTAAAGAATACCTTTCAGCATTTCATATAATGCTGGTTTGGTGGTGATGAACTCCTTTAGCTTTTTCTTATCTGTGAAGCTCTTTATCTGACCTTCAATTCTGAATGATAGCTTTGCTGGACAAAATAATCTTGGTTGTAGGTTCTTGGTATTCATCACTTTGAATATTTCTTGCCACTCCCTTCTGGCCTGCTTAATTTCTGTTGAGAAATCAGCTGACAGTCGTATGGGTATTCCCTTGTAGGTAACTGACTTTTTTCTCTTGCTGCTTTTAAGATTCTCTCTTTGTCTTTTGCTCTTGGCATTTTAACTATGATGTGTCTTGGTGTGGTCCTCTTTGGATTCCTTTTGTTTGGGGTTCTCTGTGCTTCCTGGACTTGTAAGTCTATTTCTTTCACCAGGTAGGGGAAGTTTTCTGTCATTATTTCTTCAATTAGGTTTTCAATATCTTGTCCTCTCTTTTCTTCTGGCACCCCTATAATTCGGATGTTGGTACGCTTGAAGTTGTCCCAGAGGCTCCTTACACTATCTTCATATTTTTGGATTCTTTTTGCTTTTTGCTTTTCCAGTTGGGTATTTTTTGTTTCTTCGTATTTCAAATCTTTGACTTGATTCTTGGGATCCTCTTGTCTGCTATTGGATCTCTGTATATTATTCTTTATTTCAGTCCGTGTATGCTTAATTTCTAGTTGGTCTTTTTTCATATCCTCCAGGGTCTCACTAAATTTATCGGCAGTTTCCAGAAAATTCTTGAAAAACCTTATAACCATGGTTTTGAACTCTATATCCAGTCGTTTGCTTTCCTCCATTTCTGTCATTTGTGACCTGTTTCTTTGTCTCCACATTTTTATACTTCTCTGTGTTGGTAGAGTGGCTTTGTGTTCTAGGTGTTCTATAGGGCCCAGTGGCTCAGCCTCCCCAATTACCTGAGGTGGACACTCTTGGTGCACCCCCTTGTGGGCTTTGTGCACAGTCTTGTTGTAGTCTTGTTGTAGTTAAGCCTTGATTGTTGTAGTTATCACTGGGAGGAATTGACCTCCAGGCCATTTGGCTGTGAGAATCAGCTGTGTCTGCAGTGGGAGAACTTCTGTGCTAAGGACACCCTTCTGGATCAAGACTTGCTTCAGTGGGGCTTTGGTGCTCACTGAGTCTGCCCCCTGAATGTGTCCCTTATGGATCTGAGGAGTTGTAATCTGGATGGTCCCACTCTGACCACTGGGTACACTGGCTCTTGGATATAATTTAGCCTCAGCAGGAGCTACGAAGAGATCTGCAGGTTCCCCTTCCTTTTTTGGGGTTTGGAGGTGCCCAGATGAGGCCCAGCTGTGAAGCAATGCAAGCTGCTGTGGGGCCTTGGGCCTTCTCTTGGAAGTTCTGGGTCTGTCTGGCCCAGCTGCAATTTGTTAGGTAATTTTCAGATTGCAAAGGGCCAGGGCAGGGGTCCTCAAACTACGGCCCGCGGGCCACATGCAAATACAAATATTGTATTTGTTCCCATTTTGTTTTTTTACTTCAAAATAAGATATGTGCGGTGTGCATAGGAATTTGTTCATAGTTTTTTTTTTAAACTATAGTCCAGCCCTCCAACAGTCTGAGGGACAGTGAACTGGCCCCCTGTTTAAAAAGTTTGAGGACCCCTGGGCCAGGGCATTCATATGCAAAAGCCTCTGCTGCAGCCTGGGTGGGGTGGGGTCTCAGGGAATCAACAGGGCGGAGCAAGCAGCTATGGCTGATCCTCAGCCCTGCCCTAAGGGGCCCCATGTCTCAGTGTCCTGGTAATTGCTGCAAGCACCTCTGAGGGAAAGCCACCCTCAAGTTCCAAGTTCTGCCTGTTGCCAGACAGTCCAGTTTCTCCCCATATGAGTCCTGGGTCCCCAGAGACTTCTCAGAAATGGAGTTCAGAGCAGTCGGGAGCTTGTGACTCCCTCCCGATTCAAAAAGACAGCCGCGTCCTCAGGTGCCAGCCCCTTTTTGCGCATGCTCGAGCCTCTGTACCTCTGCACTTTACTTCCGCACCTCCTCTGAGTCTCGGTATGCTTTTCTCTTTCCTTCTAGTTGTAGAATTTCCACTCAGCCAGGCTTCCTATAGTTCTGGATGATGTCTGTTTTGTCTTTTCGTTGTATTTTTGAATTTGTTGTGGGAAGCAGCAATTTCCGGTGTTTACCTATGCCGCCATCTTGGTTTCTCCAGCTCAAGTTAACTTTTTAAAAAATTCCAAGTAATCTCATTCTTCAGGAATAATTATTCTAACAATATGGCATAAAATCTTTTGGATTTTTTCCTACGACTGGATGTATGCATTTGTGAATGGATGGATGTATACATTTAGACATAATTTTTCTAAAAATGTGATCGAGCTATGATTGTGAAGGTTGTATCTTTAACATTTACTTCATACGGATTCTATTTTGATATATGATGTGCATTAAGGACCTAATTTTTTCCAAATGGTTAACTCATTGTCTCATCTTCAGTGAATTAAAATGGCACCTTTACCAGAGCCTAAATTTCCCTGTATGCACAGTTCAGCTTCTATACTACTATTTGACCAGTCCCCTCTATAAGAGTATGGTTAATAATTAGTAGGGCAAACAATCTTCCTTTCCTGATTAAAATGTTCTAATAAATATGTCTTATTCAAGAAAAAGAAAACAGCCTGGCCAGGTAGCTCAATGGTTGAGCATCAGCACAGGAACCAAGAGGCTGCCGGTTCGATTCCCCATCAAGGCACATGCCTGGGTTGCAAGCTCAATCCTCAGTACAAGGTGTGCAGGAGCAGTCAGTCAGTGATTCTCTCTCATCATTGATGTTTCTCTCTCTCTGTCTCTCTCTCTCTCTCTCTCTCTCTCTCTCTCTCTACCTCTCCCTTCAATAAAAAAAGAAAACATTTTTTCAGATCTGACATATTTCTTTAGAAACCAGACACCTTATTACTCTGTTTCTAAATGCTTTCAGTCTATCCTTACAGTTTTCCCCACAGTCATACCATCTGTAAATATGATAATTTATACCTCCTTTTAATTGTATTGGCTACATGTCCAGAATAATATTAAATAGTGATGATTATGGCAGACATAGTACACAATATTAATGATAATGGCCTTTTGCTTTAGCTTGTGGCTATGGTTTTAAGATAGATTTTTTTAAAAATCAAGTTAAGTATGTTCTTACTTTACTAAGAGTTTTTTAAATCAAATGAGGACTTTGAATTGTATTAGTTGCCATTTGCACTTGCTAAGATAATCGTGTAATTTTTTCTTTTGAACTTATCAGTGTGATAATTATAGTAATAAATTTTCTAAAACCATCCAGGAATTCTCTCTGAACATGTGCCATGTGAAAATGATGTATTTTTCACCATACTTCTAGAGTTAATATTTTTTTTAGAATTTTGTCTCCAGAACCTTAGGTGACTACCCTTTAAGTCAGACTAGCCTGTAGCTCTCATTGTTGGGTTAACTTTAACATGACATATCAAGCCCGTTATTCTTCATAGGTATAAGTTCTTTCTATAAAATGTATTTGTTCTGCATTATATTTTATTTTATTGTGGAAAGTAACAGGGCTTGCATAAACATTATAAATACTATAGCCATTATATTTCTTTTAAAATCGTTTTCTAGTTTTAATAGAGTAAGAGAGATTTTAAATTTTTTGAATATTTTGCAGCATAACTAAAATATTTCATCTTAAATTATCTGATGTGATTATAGAAAATTCAGTACAATATATAATTATGGAGTCTTACTGATTCAGCACAGTTATGTTTTTTGGCTTAAAAATATTAGAATTTTATTTTATTTGGTCTGTTCCTTAATATTTTTATTTACATGAATTTCCATGCAAGTTCTATCATAGTGGAGCAAAATGTTACCAAGGAGACAAGTGTAAATTTTCACATGATGATTTGACAAAAGAAACGAAGAAACTTTTGGACAAAGTAAGTAAGGAACAAAGTTTTTGTTCCTTGATTGTTAAGTCTCTCTACAGATTCATTTGACTTGAATTGTGTTTTATAAAACTGCTCATAAGTCAGGGATTTGTTGTTTTCATTTTTCATTAATACAGTGTTTTAGAAAAGCAGAATATTGGGCTATGAATTAAGAATCTTTCATTCTCATCCTTGTTTTGCTGTTAAAAAGCTAGTTTACTTTGAGAAATATTCTTTACCTCTTTGAACTTAATTCTCTTTATGAAAATGAGTTTGTGTGTGACCCATGCAGCTTAATGTTACATTTTCCTATTAATAGAACTAATTTACTGAACTCTTCACAATGTTAACTGTGAGGAAGATAGTTTGTTTTTATGTGGTAATCTTTGCCAATTTTTTTCAGGTGTTGAACACTGAAGAGGACCCCACAAATGAGGATGAAAGAGAGTTAGAGGAACTTAGGAAGCGCGGCATAACCCCTCTTCCCAAACCACCTCCAGGAGTGGGCCTCCTGCCAACCCCAGCAGAGCACTTTCCCTTTTCTGATCCTGAAGATGACTTTCAGACAGATCTCTCTGATGATTTCAAGAAAATCCCATCTCTTTTTGAAATAGTTGTAAAACCTACTGTGGACTTAGCACATAAGATTGGGAAGAAGTAAGTTAACATTTTCAAAAAACGGTGGCATTTTCTCCCTAGAAATACTAAGAAACTAACTTGTGTCCATGTTAATCGTGTGCGTAAGCTCAGGTAGAGATAGCAGCTGTCTAGCACACACCTGATTGCTTCTTCCCACATCCTCCTGCCCGTCCTCTGCTGCCTCCTCTTGGCTTTCTCTATAGAATCCAGCTTCAGAACCTCCTCACAGTGATGAGGACTAGAAGAGAACCAGTCAAAACATTTATCTCTGGGTGATGGGATTAGGGGTGTTTCTTATTTGTCTTTGTACTTTCTGCATTTTTCAAAAGCAGTAATGAATATGATTTTAGAACAACAGTTAATAAGCAGCAACTTAGAAAACTATGGGCTAAAACACAGGCAGGATGCATATGTTGGTCCTTCCAGTTACTATAGGTGATATGAAATAAATGCCTTCTTAGAAGCAGACTATTCTCTTCTGATACGGAAAACACATGTAACCATTTAAAAATGTGACATTCTTGTTTGCCTCTTTTCTTTGAACTAAGAAATATTATTCTTTCTGTCTACAGACCACCAGCATTTTATAGCAGTGACTCGCCACCAGGACCACAATATCAGGAAAGCAGCCCACATCCTCAGCATATCTACAGTTCTGGGTCAAGTCCAGGTCCCGAACCTAATATGTCTCAGGGACACAGTATTCCTGTGATGCACTCAGGCTCCCCTAGACATCATCCATGTGCAGGACCTCCTGGCCTACCAGTGCCACAGAGCCCACCTTTGCCACCCGGTCCACATGGAGCTGGAGTAATTGTTCAACCAGATGGACCTTTGTCAGTACCAAGTATGAGTGGTGCTTACCATTGTCCGAGCTTTCCAGAACACATGATGAAAGTACCCAGAGAGAATCACGGTTCTCCAGGCTCATCACACCTGCAAGGTTCTGGTGAAATGCAGCTCAGCACCAGTTATGAGTCCCTACAAAACCCCGCTGAGTTTTATGAGAATTACTATTCTCAGCATGGTGCACCTAATTTTCAGCCACCCAGTAACTCTAGTGGTAAGTGTACCTTTCAGAATAACTCAAGCTAAATATTTAGAGTCCTGTCTTTTTTTAAAAATATATTTTATTGATTTTTTACAGAGAAGAAGGAAGAGGGACAGAGAGTTAGAAACATCGATGAGAGAGATCGATCAGCTGCCTCCTGCACGCCCCCTACTGGGGATGTGCCTGCAACCAAGGTACATGCCCTTGACCGGAATCGAACCTGGGACCCTTGAGTCCGCAGGCCGACGCTCTATCCACTGAGTTAAACCGGTTCGGCTAGAGTCCTGTCTTTCATTAATAAGTATGTTTTAAATAAAGCTACGTGAAAACAAATAAATAAATCGAAGTAAAATGTGATGAAATTGAGACCTTAAATATGTTTTAACTTTCTTTTGTTAATTCCCACCTGAAGATATTTTTTCCACTGATTTTTAGAGAGTGGAAAAGAGAAAGGGAGGTAGAAAGAGAAAAACATCAATGTGAGAGAGACACATTGTCTTCCAACCAGGGTCAGGATCAAACCTGCAACCCATTCACATGCCCTTGACCAATAATGAAACCCGAGACCCTTCAGATCATGGACCCATGCTCTAACCACTGAGCAACACCAGGGAAGTCTTCAAATTTAACCAAACATTTTTAACAATAGAACTTTAGATAACTTCTAAAAATATTTACAATCACATAATAATTTTCTAATCAAATGTGATTATTAGTAGGGCTACAATTTCTTATAATTCACAGTGGTACTCACTCGTGGAATACTGTGCTTGAATCAATGTCTGTTTCTTTATTATGTGCAGATGGGATGTGGCATGATGAGTTTGCTCAGCATCAGCCTCCCATTGTTCAAGACTCACCTAACCGTGGGAGTAGGTGTGATGGCAGCGGCAACATGACAGGCCATGACCCCCTGCCTGCACCAGGCCTCCTCCCTGCAGTGCAGAGAGCTCTTTTTGTCAGACTTACTCAGAAATACCAAGAAGACGAAGAACCAAGCAGCACCCACCCTCAGAGGGCACCCAGCAAAGAAGAAGGTATGTCATGTTATTTTTTCATAATGCTGCAAAGAATATTGTCATACAAGCGTCTGAGTCCATGTTTTTGTTTTGTTTTTTTAAATATATTTTTATTGATTTTCTACAGAGAGGAAAGGAGAGGGATAGAGAGTTAGAAATATCGATGACAGAGAAACATAAAATTTATTAATAACTATCTAAAACTATAACAGGTAACTACAAGCTATTACATAAATATTCATTATATTTTCAAATACAGTAACATTAATTCTTCATTTACTTAACATCACAGGGAAGTGAGGGATACCTAATAACTTAATTTCCTGTACAATTTATATTTATTCCTTTAAGTGCTAAAACTTTCATTTAAAAAAACAACAACCATTTATCAGTCAACTTTTTAGTCTTACAGAGCTTTATGTTTTCATAAGCAAGAAAATAACTTTTCTAGATGATAAAAGATCCTATATAATAAAGAGATAATATGCAAATTGACCATTATGCCCTCACACAAGTTGGCTGTCCCCACGTGGTCAAAGATGGCCGACAGGGGAGAGCAATGAGGGTGACCAGGCCTGCAGGGGAAAGCAGTGAGGGCGACCAGGCTTGCAGTGGAGGGCAGTTGGGGGTGGGGGGGCCCAGGCCTGTAGGGGAGGGCAGTTAGGGGGGACCAGGCCAGCAGGGCAGGGCAGTTGGGGGTGACCAGGCCAACAGGGGAGGGCAGTTGTGGGGGCAGGCCTGCAGGGGAGAGTAGTTGGGTGGGGACCAGGCCGGCAGGGGTGGGCAGTTAGGGGTGACCAGGCTGGCAGGGGAGGGCAGTTATGGGGGGACCAGGCCTGCAGGGGAGGGCAGTTGAGGGCAACCAAGCTGGCAGGGGAGGGCAGTTAGGGGCAATCAGGCCAGCAGGGGAGCAGTTAGGCGTCGATCAGGCTGGCAGGGGAGTGGTTAGGGGGTGATCAGGCTGGCAGGCAGAGTGGTTAGGGGCAATCAGGTAGGCAGGTGAGCGGTTGGAAGCCAGTAGTCCCGGATTGTGAGAGGGATGTGCAACTGCCAGATGTCCGACTAAACCGGCAGTCAGACATCCCCCAAGGGGTCCCAGATTGGAGAGGGTACAGGCTGGGCTGAGGGACAACCCCCCCCCCCCCCAGTGCACTAATTTCTTGCACCAGGCCTCTAGTTTTATAATATTATACAACTGAGGATGTTTTATAAAGGTTGTTTTCTCTATATACAGAAAATGTCTTGACCAGCTAGGATTTTTGTGTATTTGTTGGTATATTCATAAAATTTTAATGCCTTTAAATTGTATCTGTCCCTTGATAAAAAGTTGTTACTCATCATTTCCTGTCTAATATTTGCTGCCTGTTGGCCTCTGCTGTTCTACTTTCCTTCTGTTCTATATTCATTCTCATTCCAAAAGGGATTTGACTGCTTATTAAATATGTTCATATGAAAGTGAGAATAAAATAGCATCTTCGCTCTTTGGGTCAGGTAACAACTTCTGTGAGGAGCAAAGTTACTCTACAGAAATATTGAAAATGAATTGCAAGCCCAGCTCTAGGCCTCCTGGAGGTCCAAGAGAAGAAGGAAGGAGACCTAGAATCTAACCTTTGTTTTCCATACCCTGAGACCCAAAAAAAACTTTTGCTATTGTGACATAGTGTATTCTATATTAAGACACATCCCCACCCTAAACACCATTGCTTACTTTGTGAGCACTGCTCTGTTCAAACTAAGAGGGTAACACTAAAGTTCCATGAGGTAGAAACACATTAGTAAGCAGTGCAAGGAGGTAAAAGAAGAATATCTGCAATGGTCTATTGATCTGGGATATTCTAGGGCAGTGGTTCTCAACCTTCTGGCCCTTTAAATACAGTTCCTCATGTTGTGACCCAACCATAAAATTATTTTCGTTGCTACTTCATAACTGTAATGTTGCTACTGTTATGAATCATAATGTAAATATCTGATATGCAGGATGGTCTTAGGCGACCCCTGTGAAAGGGTCATTTGGCCGCTAAAGGGGTCGCGACCCACAGGTTGAGAACCACTGTTCTAGGGTGTGTGTGTGTGTGTGTGTGTGTGTGTGTGTGTGTGTGTGTGTGTGTGTTTCCAGCTTAGTGTCGACCTGTATGTGTCTGAATGGAGAGGAAGGAGACTCACCCTATCATACCGTCTACTCATTGTGCACAAGATATGAGGGATAAAAAGACTTTAGGAGTAAGGCCCAGAGTGTTCTCATAAAGGTCAAGTAGATAAACTTTAGGGTGTTAGTTTTGTTTGATAATTTTAATTTAGTGCTGGAATAGCTAATATAGTCACATAGGTCAAATATCTAAAAATGTAAAATACAAATTAAGGCTCTGCACCTCACCCCTCATTTGCTCAGTTCCCATGGCTTCCTTAACTGTCATTATTAGTGCTATGTTGTCTTTCCAAACATATTTTTATATCTCTCCCTTGCTATCAAAATAAATGCAGAGCTTAAGGATTACTTGAATTAAGGAGATCCAAAACCTTTTCATCTTCTGTCCCCAGAGTATTTTGCCTTCTCCCTGAAGCCTGTTACACCACACACGCTCTGAGTTCCCTTGGCCAATTGGCGGGAAAGGCCCTGGCTTTCTCTGGCTGGAAGGACTTGCACATGTCCCAGTATCCCAGCTCTGTCTTTCCAGAGTGTGATAACCAAATTGATGGTCATCATACCACATGCTGCCTTGTTCCGGTGTTGAAACCCTAGCATTTCTATGATGGCATTGTCTTTCTGGCACATGGGGCAATGCCCAACCAACTGAGCCACACTGGCCAGGGACTATGATGCATTGTCTTGAAGTTAGACTTCAGAAATAGCATGTGCTTTTTTATCTTAATTCAGACCGAATCTGCATGCTTCATTCTTTATAATAAGTCTTTGTCTGCATTTAGATGATCCTGTTAACTGGTATTCCAGTAGTGAAGAGGAAGAAGGGAGCAGTGTCAAGGCAATCCTGAAAACGTTACAGAAACAAACAGAAACTTTAAGGAGCCAGCAGCAGTCTTCCTTGGAACTCGGCACTCCTACTGATCCAAGACTTGCTAAAGAGAAGAGTAAAGGGAACCAGGTGTCTGACCCTCGACTTAGGACCATCCCAAGACAAGACATTAGAAAGTCTTCTGAGTCTCCCGCACAGGGTCTCAGACTCGTGTGGGATCCCAGGAAACCAAGAGGAAACGGAAGTGGGCAGGCGAGCTCCTCTGCTGGTGCAGCAAAGTGCGATTTACATCATGCACATTCCGGCGCTAACATCAAACACAAGAGAGGAGATGATGAGGAAGAGGACACAGAACGAGAACTGAGAGAAAAGGCTTCCTTAATACCCCTGGACTCTCCCCCCGGGGCAGTGCTCCAGGATCCACGGTCGCAGCTGAGGCAGTTCAGTCACATTAAAATGGATATCACACTCACCAAGCCCAACTTCGCAAAACACATCGTGTGGGCTCCAGAGGACTTACTTCCAGTCCCTTTACCAAAACCCGACCCCGTCTCTTCAATCAGCTTACCTCTGCCCCCTCTAATAGCTGACCAGAGGCTATGGAATTCGAAAAGCGATCTCCATCAAAGCACAGTACCCCTGGATTCAAAATTGGCAGTCAAAGCCAAAATTAACACAACAAGCAGAGAAGGCTACCTGGAACCTTTTGGGGACTTGCACAGTTCAGCAAGTAAATTGGGAGACCCCAGGCTACAAAAAAAATGTGATCCTAGACTTCACAGACTGCACAACACAGTATCTCAGCAAGCAGTTACGAAGGAGTCACATACACCAAAGTGTGCCCCTCACTTGGCCAGGTTAAGCCCTGGTGCATCACAGCCCTCAGCGGCAGTAACCAGCGACTCTGGGCCTGGGGTTTTGCCTCCCTACACTCCTAAACTGTCGCCTTCAGCTGGTGTTCCACTGGGGACTCCAAGTTCAGTTCTCAGTGGTATTAGTTTGTATGACCCTAGGGAGCCTGGCTCATCATCTGCTCCAGAGCCAGCAACGGAAAATGCAGAGAACCAGAAAAAAAGTGGTGGTTTAAAAGGCAGTGACAAAAATGAGCGCGCTCCTGGAGAAGCAGCCCTGCCACAGAAAACCACTGCCGACGCGGAGGCCACTGTCCATGGGCCAGCCGACGCACCGGCCCATGTCCCCAGCAGCTCCTGTGCAGGCCAGGTCCCCGCAGTGCACAGCCTTCCTGTGCAGGCGTTAACAGGCTTAATGAAACCCCAGTACAGTGATCCCAGGCAGTCCAGGCAGCTGGGACAGCTGAGCCCCACCCCAGAAGATGACCCCAGTGGGGAAACAGATGACAAATCTCTGAAAGAGGTTTTTAAAACTTTTGATCCAACTGCTTCACCATTTTGCTAGCTACTGTGTAATTAAGCAGTTCTTTTCAGTCTCGTGACCATAGCAGTCCTCGCTGTTTTGTAACTGGTTTACCTCTATAGTTTATTTATTTTTAAATTATGAACACTTTTCAGCTGCTAGTATCAGAACCACATGAAGTTATATCCTCTAAAGGCTGTGGTATTTTATATAATATTTTTATAAATTTAAGAGACAGTAGCAAGTGACATAGAAACCTATATATCATGTTAGCTTCAGTAAAAATACTTTTTTTGTAAATAAACCATCATGAACTGGACACTCTGCCTGAATATATGCCAGTTGTCTTTCTTAATCAATGTTTAGATAAATGATTACCACTTTTATATGGTTGTTCATTTCAAGCAATATGATGTATATTACTTTTGGGAAACAGTATTTTGACTAGGATCCTCTCTGTCAACACATAACTGCTAACAAAAATGTAAAATGAAATAAAACATTTTAAATCATAGTTAGCAGAACAGTTCATATTTAAGGGCATCACTTTTATTAATGTGGGCAATATTGTGTAAATGAAGCATTTGAATGTCATATCTTTTAAAAAATATTTTATTGTATCATAGAAGTTAGAGATATATAAGTAGATTGTTTTGCTGAAGTGAAAATTCCCAAGTTCTCTGACATACCTTTTTACAATTAATTTTCATATTAAATAGTTATGAGTTACTGCTGTCACCTGGTGATGTTTATGTGTGCTCATGTGTTTTGTCTTTAGCAGTATAATTTATATTACTTTTTCAAATGATGTAGATACAATAATTGTATTCATCATGACCTTGGCAATTTTTACAAACTTTTAAAAGATTCAGTGAAAGTCTATCGTGATTATTGCATTGATAATGTTTTAAGTGTCCAGGTTCCATATTTTTTTAAATAGCAAGAAAACACAGAGATATTGTAGTCAACTGTGTGGCTACCAATAAAAAAACTTTCAGATCTCACATGACTGGCGTTCTATAGCAGAGTTTGGAAATCCCCTGAATTGGTTAGAAATTGCATTTTTATGAAAAATAACATATTCATTCTTGTGTGTTTATTGTAGTCTAAAATAATAGCAGCCTTACCTGCTTTATGCATTTATTATTTATAATGGAAGCAGTTTATACTAATACTGATGTCTTGAACTGAAAGATTATGACAGTGTTTGCTGGTAACAATTTCAGCAACTTGAAAAGGAACATTTCCTCACAAGAGATAATGAAAGTGATGGATATCAGTCCTTGGGTGAACAGCTATCCTTGAGAAGTGATGTAAAAATATACAGCAAAATATTTCTCTAGGAACCTATGGTTTAATGTTAAAGCCTGCCCTGTATGTTCACTGCCTAACCCTTTACCTTTTGCTTGGATCCTGCGCTCCCAAAGGGTTAAGTGAACAGGACTCTGCCAACCTAAGAAGCTCACTTTGTTCAAGGAAACATGAATTTCTGCTATTTATACTTCATCTACATTGTTGTCTAAAATGGCTCTGGATAATATTTTTAGGTTAAAAATGCAGTTTAAAGCCACCATAGAAAGTATTTTCTGATTTGCTGTTCAAACAAACTTTATTATTAATTGAAAAGTCACTGAAATGAATAAAACTGACAGAAAACAAGATTTTATATATATATACATATATATAATCATATATATTAGTAGTTATATATTATACATATATATGATTATATATCTTCGCTATTATGTATAGATTATATATATATATATCTTTGTTAAAGACTAAAATGTAATCCAAATCCTTAACAGAAGATATTTTTACTACTAAAATAGATGTTAAAAAATTAATTAAAAAGTAAAGTTTAAAAATCATTAATGCAAATAATAATGTTCATTTACTCAGTATCCTTGAATCCATATTACATCAGCTAATGTCCTAGAACAGCGGTTCTCAACCTGTGGGTCGTGACCCTTTTGGGGGTCGAACGACCCTTTCACAGGGGTCACCTAAGACCATTGGAAAACACATTTGTAATTATATACTGTTTTTGTGATTAATCACTATGCTTTAATTATGTTCAATTTATAACAATGAAAATACATCCTGCATATCAGATACTTACATTACGATTCATAACAGTAGCAAAATTACAATTATGAAGTAGCAACGAAAATAATTTTATGGTTGGGGGTCACCACAACATGAACTGTATTAAAGGGTCGTGGCATTAGGAAGGTTGAGAACCACTGTCCTAGAAGCTATTTTACAAGAAAGTTTGGACTTTCAAAATTAATAATATATTTTATATGGAAATATGCTGTCTGTGTTTAAAATAATGATTTCTATCTGTGATGCTTTTTAAATTGTAGTAACATTAGCTTAGGAGATATTGTTACATCCTGTCAACCGGTTATTTTTTAAAAGATTTTTATTGATTTTTAGGGAGAGGGAGAAAGAAAGAGAAACATTGATGTGAGAGAGAAACATTGATCAGCTGCCTTTTGCACGCCTCCTAGTGGGGATTGTGCCCACAACCCAGGCATGTGCCCTGACCAGGAATCAAACCAGCCACCTTGCGTTCCATGGGACGACGCCGAACCTGAGCCACACCAGCCAGGGCCAAACTGGATTATTTTAATATTTCTTTTTTCCTATTTTCTCACCAAGTTAATAGTAGCCATTTTCCCCAAAGAATAAGCTCCTCTTTAAGGTGAATTGTGATTTTAAAATCTATGGAATTTGATTTATACTGTAGTATGCTGAGAAATATGTTATGTCCCTATTCTTAGAAGCCAAACATTTATAGATAACAGAAGTAACCTGCATCTTAAAAGAGTCTGGATTGGATTCATTGGTTGGGATGTGACTTAAACATTCGTACTGGTTTGTGACAGAAGTTTTATGCCTGTTCAATTTCGATGTTAAATAGAGTAGGATATTCAGAATGTTGATTTTTGATTCCCAGAGCAAATGTTTTCCCATTACTTCTTTAGTTTTGCTCCAAACTCCTGTCTCTGGAGCTTTCCCAGTTAGGACCTCATTCTGAACCTTGAAGATGAGCCAAGTGTTAGAGAGATTTCAAACTCTGTTTCCGTCGGACCACTGTGACCCCGCCCTTGAGCCACACCCCAGCATTAGGCTGCAACCAAAACAGTCTACGTTTGAAATGATGTTGGGTTAGGTTTCTGTCTGTCTGTAGACTTGTATAGGACTTCAAATGGTAGTTTTTATTCCTAGTCCCCCTTATTGTAAGACTGGAAGAATGGTTGTTTAGTAAATAAATCCTGGATGAGTATTCATATAAGGCTTATATGAGCTTATTGTAAGCCACTTTGCTGAATTAATTAGAAGGGAGAGGGAGGAAAGGAGAACTTATGAGGGCTGGAGGTTCAAAGCCCATGAATTCATATTCTTGTTATGATATAAGCATTTCATCTCATGTCTAGTTTCTTCTCTGTGAAATGGGGATAATTTTTACTGCTCACAAGTTAGTCTTAAGGAGGAAATGAATTATTAAGTATTTATAAATATAAAATTGCTTCATAACTTTCACAAACATAAAAATTAGACTCCCATTAGAGTAACAAAGCCCAGATTAACCTGCCTCTTTTGGAAAGAATATGGGTCTAAGAAAGGACATTAGGTTAACATCAATATAATATTTAGAATATATAATTTTTAAATGAAAACCACATTTTAAGCTGTAACTTACGCTTCTGAAAACAGAACCCATATGTGTCTCCTTTTCTGTTTTCCCATAGCAACAAGCCTAGCTCTAGGCACACAGTGGGTGCTTTGTTAAGTGCTTCTTGAATGCTTCTCACAATCCAACCAGACTTAGATTTTTCAGGTGCTATCAACTATTAGGGCAGATATGGCAAAGCCATTCTGCAATTGCATTAGAAATACAGCTCATAACTTATACCTCTTTAGGTAGACACTGGGCACATAGCTTCTCCCCTCTCCCCCATCAACTGAACAATGTGAAGGCAGGGCTGCAGCAGCTCTGTTGGAGTTAAATGTTTCTAGAATAATTCATAACTCTTAAGAATCCTCCAGACTTTACTTAATGTAACTTTACTTAGTGGTGGAGGTTTGAATAGATCAATAATTTATTCCTATATATCTACAAAGGATTCTTTCTGTAACCAGAAGGAATTGCATAACTAGAGTCTTATGTTTTTATTTTAAATGTCTTTCTCTAGTTTCTCCCTTTCAGTTATCTTCAAAATATCAACCAAAATTATGAAGATATGCCTAGCCTAATGAATTTCCAATAGCACTGAAACGTGTTTCTCCTAACACCATGAACAGTAATTCACCTTTTCAGTCATGAATTGCACTCTAGTGTGGGCCTTGTGTCTGGTCCTTAAACACCCTCGTCACCCTTTGGAACAGAACAGTCATGCTACAGTTGACAAAACCGTGTGTGCACAGTGAAATTCTTCAAACGAGATTGTGAGTCCTTGCAATAGTATCTTAGTTTTGTTCAACCTTGAATCTCTTGTTTTTTTAAACTTAGAATTTATTTTTTATTAATATGCAGATAATTATAGCATCTTAGAAGAAAATCAGCTCTGTGAATTATCCGGCCCATGCTTCTTGCCTCACTACTCTGCGTGTCACATACTGTTGTCTCCAGCGACCCCACAAATGAGTGATGTCCTCTGTGTCCTGGCCTCAGCAGCCCCACCCAGCAGCTGTAGACTCAGCCTGTGGCTTGGCTAACGGATTCTATCCTAGAATTTGGCCTTCCCCTTCTCCTGCTGCCTTCTGTTTTTCTCAGCATTATTGTCTTTTCCAAAGAGCCTGCCTTCTCTTGATGTGCCTGAAGTAGGACAGCTTCAGTTTTGTCATACTTGCCTCCAGCAATGTTTTAGGCTTAATTTGCTCTAGGACCCACTTGTCTGTCCGGTGGCCTGAGTTATTCATAAAGCAATCCTCCAACACCATGTTTCAAATGAATCAATTGTTTTCTATCAGCCTTCTTCCCTGTCCAGCTGTTGCATACAAGGGTGTGGGTAGCCTCCCCCCTGGTCTCTAACGACACACCTTTGCTTTTGGTGTTCTTTTCTAATTGTCTCATTGCTGTCCTTCCTAGTCTAAGCCTTCTCTTGATTTCGTGGCTGCAGTCTCCATTTGAATTGATGCCTGATTGCATCAGCTAATATTATTTTATCAGGGGTCTGATGTATAGTTTATTTAAAGGAATTAAATAAAGGACCAACTTTTTTTAAAAAAATGTTCCAGACCTCCATTATGAGCAATAGCTCAGGATTAGTTGTCAGTGACAGGCTATATATTTTATATGCTTTTTAAAATAGAGGTGAAAAATAATAACCATTACTGCAGGCAAAAGGTTTTAGTCCACTTCTGTGTTAGAGGAGTTTGCCCTCCAAATGTCTGAGAGGCAAGTTGAATAAGGAGATTCTGTCTCCAAGGAGTAGGGTGACATTTCCTTACAAAAGTGACAATCAAGACAGTTATTTGTATACGTAACTTGCCAAAGTTTTAAAAAACCTTCAATCTTTGCCCTAAACCCATGCTCCCCCACCCATGACTAGAAAGAGCATAGCTCTCGGGTGCCAGGGCCCAGGTCACTTTGCTTTTAGTCCAGGGCTTCTGTGCCTGCCCGTGGCAAGGGTGCTGGTGGCAATGTGTCCTAAGATGCAGTGTGTGTGTGTGTGTGTGTGTGTGTGTGTGTGTGTGTGTAGGGGGGAGCTGTGTCCAGACTTAGCATGGCCTGTTTTCTATCTTTTCCTCAAGCACCATCTATGGGCTGAAATCCAGGTGAAACCTATTCAGTATGAAGCGGGTGTTTGTTTTTCACTTCCTAGCATTATTTCAGTTCCCCAAGTTCTATCTTTCCCCAAGTTATAAATGTCGGGGAAATGCTGCCGAAATTGTTTCACTCTGGAAGGTTTTCATAAATACCAGTTTATTGGCTTCACTAAATTTTTAATCTCCTTTTTGTTCAAAAGATACCAGCAATGAGAGGATTT